TCAAAAAAAAAGTCAAAGTAGCTAAAGCTAAAAATGTGCACATGAAAATTAGCAAATAAAATGTCACACTCCCTTCTGAAGGTATTCCAACAGAGATTTAAATAAAAATACATTTGTCTCCCCTTAGTTAATTCGGTGACATAAAAATTACTTAAATATACAATCAAATGCTTATGCTTAAAACATACTCCTGTGTATACACATACACACACACACACACACACACACATACTCCTCCCCACCCCCACCCCCACCCCCACCAAAAAGTCAAGAAAAGCCCCACTAGCTGTTTCAGGCCAGCAATCAATCCAGTTTACTGCAGGTACAATTTATATGTACAGGGCATACAGGAACAAAACCACAGTATGATGCCAACAGGGCCCTTAAGAAAGTTTTCTCCTAAATCTCTGGAAAGGAGCTTTAAAAGAAAGCAAGGATTACAGTCAGCTAGAAGGTAGGGAGGGGACTTACCTCAGACCCAGCCAAGCGGAAATCAGAGCAGTAATTCTACAAGTCGACAGAGTACACTTTCAAAGCTATAATGGTGTGAAGAAGTGCTGGGCAGCATGGCCTGAAGGCAGCACTAATACACTGATGACTAATGGCTGGGCCAGGGCAGACAATGAATTTGGGGCTTGAAAACTAACAGAAACCATGCAGTACTTTGACAAATGGGCTTTCACAATTTCATTCATTGAATAACCTTTAAGCACAAAATTGGCTCGAGTTCTCTTGGGAATTATAAGACATGTTGTCGGGCGATGATGTAAGTATTTTTTTTAATTATGACTCTTTTGCAAAATATAAAAGCACCATATACGGGGACGCAACTATAGATACTACCGATGCAGATGTGAGGCTCAACACAATATTGCCTTTCAGGAAAGAGCTGAAATGTTCCAATGCCACCTTATTAGCTATGTAATGGCTTGTTCATTCAGTTTCTTTAGAGAGCCATAGATTTTCTGGGATATTTTGTCAGGTTGAAATGTGCACATACAGAACAAAAAACACTTTCACATTAAAAAAAAAACAAAAAAAAACAAAAAGTGGTCATGAGTAACGCAGAAGTGTAACAGTCAAATAAGTGTAATTTTAAGGGGCTAGGCAAAGGGTAAGTGCCTTAAAACAATTGAGATACCATGTAAAGTTTGCAATCAGATGCCCTCACCAACACATTTACCACCCCAATTTCTTTACACCAGCTCCCCTCCCACATCCCTACATAACTAGCCCTTCAATTCAAAAATAATAATTTTGGCAATTTTTAAAGAGAGAATGAAATACCTAGTGTCTCTAAATTAACAAATACCACTTACTCCAGACAGCACTGCCTTTAGCACCTCCTAAAAACTTAAGAAAAAGATCTTAAAACAGGAAGCTTAGTGAGCTCATAAAACTGTTGTTGGAGCCAGGAACACATAGCATATTTAATCTGCAAACTGTGGGAGTCTACAGTGATTTCAGCAAGATCTGAGGCATGCCCTCAAGGTTTGCTGGGATCTGGGATTAGGGGGTTGATAAGAACCTCTGCTGCCCATGGACATGTTTTTCTTCTGCAGTTAAACACAAATGCATAGAGACGTTTGACTGCTGCTTGGCGTTACTGCTCAAGTTATATAAAAGCTTTGCAGCTCCTTTTGCTGTCAATATATCAAAGTTTAAAAAAAATCATCAAAGTGTGAAATTTCATTTAAAGTCTTTGCCAGTCTACAGCTCTATTTCACAGGCCCATCACATAAAAGTAAAGATGAAAAATACACTGAAAGTACTTGAAAAGTTTGCAGCAGTAGCCCTACCCTGTTATTGTTTATTCTGTCCCCCTTTATTTGCTTTGAAACTAGAACAAATCAATTTTCATCTAGAAAAATGACAACATTAAGTGAAGGGCAGCATCTTCTACTAGCCTTTAATGAAAAGACAACCTGGACTCATTATTTGAGTGGAATCTTTTGCTTAAGAAATTAAATATACACACACACATTTCCTCTATAGTCATTTCAGCATTTTAATTGCCCCTTATGATATAAAGTGGCAGAAAATTTCTTGAATTCTCCAAAACAAGTCAGACCACTATAGAATATGAATGCCAGGAAAAATAAAACCTCCTTCAAAGAATTCTTCAGCTGGGGATTTACAACAATTGCATAAAGGAGAAAAGTCTGACTTTTAAGATAATCTACTATAGTCTAAAAGCATTAACATTCCATTACTAAGGTATTCTTAAGGATTTCATGACTCATTGATTCACTTTTCCTTCAAGACCGGTTTTTCTTAGTACATTACTGTCTCCATATAAGTGAGTGCATGGAACAATGATCATTAAATTGTTTCCTTTCATCAACTCCCAAACCTTATCCTCACAAAAAAAGGGGAGAAGAGGAGAAGAGAAGCAGGTTACCTTACACAGAAGGAAAGACCTCTCAACGGCTAAGCAGAGAAGTCTGGAACCCTTAGAGCATGGCAGGTAATTAAGAAATCCGGCCAAGAAACAAAGGAAAGTTCAACTTTTAAGCTTGGGCACCAAACATAAATTAATGACTCTTTCATTAAATAAGTAATGAAATAACTCAACGGAGCCATTTTTCATCAGTACTGAATTTTCTCATTTCATCTGTAGTCTTTTGCAAATTAGATATACAATAAAACTGTGTTTATATCAGGGTTCAATCAAGGAATACAAACATGTTAAAGATACTGGGAATTGGTAGGTATCCGAGTTAGACCTACTAGCCTTTTAAAGTCCTCCTGCATGTGTGAAATTTCACTAGACTCTTCTCACATTGGACTCATTCAGGCATCTTAAACCTGGCTTCCCTAGGCTGACTTTAAGAATTATATACCCTGAAAAGATCTCCCCTGAGGCAGGGAGTGTCTAATTAAATAGCTTTTAGTATAAAATAAACTCTACTTTCTAGAATTATGCTATTATAACTAATTTAAATGTTATTTCATGTTTATTTTAGGTCTGACTGGCCAGTGTGTGTGCACCAGGTTGTTACGACCAATAACACCTAACATAAACAAATTCTTTAGATACTTCGCACAGCTTACATTGTTAAGACCCAATCACCACTGCTTCAATATATCCCCCCAACTGAAAAACTACTCTGCTTTAGAAAAATGAAGAGATTTTGAGGTTGTTCCATTACTTTAAAACCCAGCATTTTCCTCCTTCAAAATAATCTTGACACATGTAATTAAGAAACTGTCAGACTATTATTAATTTTTAATTTAAAACCTAAATGAAATAATTACAGGAATCAATCAATAAGGCACCTATTCAAATTACAGAGCAATTACATAAATACTCAAAATTAATACTTTAGGCCAATTCCTGAAGATTTCCGTCTACAATAAGCTAAGACATCAAACAATGCAAAAAGTGTAACATAGACTGAAATGAGATCATTTCATCTGGCCATGGCAGAGCCGCCACCTCCCCCTCCACTGGCCATGACCGACGCACTCAAGCTAGAACTCTTTTTAAAAGTTAATTTATTTCCACAAGAAGCGTTATTTCAGGGATCTAAAAAATGGCCTCATCCAAATTTTGTACAAAATCACAATTGGAGGGAAAAGCCTATTGATTGTGAATTCCCAGCAAAGTTCTCTGGGAAGACTAACTGGAGGGAAAGAGAAGGAAAGGAAAAGGAGAGCAGAATGTGTTTTTGAGAACTAATAATACTAATCCAACGAATGGCACTGCCATGTCTTTGCACAGCAGCCGGCCCTCCAATACCTCTGACTAAAGGCCTCTTTTACTTGGAGATGCAGACAGTCCATCATTTCAAACTGAAATGGCAGCTGGAAAATGTGGAACAGCTGGCAAAGAGCTGGGAGAAAATGTTTTACATAAATATATGTACATATAAACTGGCAGAGGTCCACAAGCAGTGTACCCAAGGCCAGAATCTATTCGGCACTGCACACGAGGGAGATGGGAGTTGGGGGCAGGAGTAACAGCCGGGAGGATGCCTTCTTAATCCTCCTTCTACGTCGGGTCAGCAAGTGAAGCCTGGGTGCAGCCAGTCTCGGGATGGCATCGCCTGAAGGAGGTGCAATCTGGGACAGGACCACAAAGTTCAGGGAAGGATAAAAGGCCGGGTGTGCAGGAAAGCTTTGGCATCTGGCAATCTGCTTGAAAGTCGCTTCACAAGCTCTCCAAGTTTGGGGTAAATATTTACTCCTTCTCCACCTCCTCCCGCCTATTTTCCCTCTGCAACTCAAGAAAGTAACTGTCCCCTGCAGAGTGATTCATACCCGGCTCTGCTCGGTGAAAATGAGGCCTCTTAAATGCTTATTGCAGGGGCCACGGTTACCCACACCCCTCGCGCTCGCTCCCTGCAGCGTCTAACGTTCTTATTTCTTTTGTTTTGTTTTCTTTCTTTCTTTCCTTTTTGTGTGCTTGTGTGTGCGCGCGCTGTCCCTGGAAAGGAAAGAAATAAAAGACTCCCAAATCGTATACAGATGGTACAACTTTCACTTTTCCTCTACAGCACGGAGGCGCGTCTCTGCCTGGGCCCACCGCACCCCAGTCCTCCGAGGGCAGCGCAGGCCGGGGGCAGCCCCGGCGCGGCGCCCAGCGCGGACCCCCGCGCACGGAGCCCGAGGGCGACTCCGCAGCACCCAGGGAGGCGCCAGGGCTCTGGGGTGCAACGTGCTTCCTGGAAGCCCTTTGGGTGAGGAGCGGGGACGAGGGGCGCCTCCGCCGCTGCTGCAAACTTCGTCTCCCTACAGGATGTGAAATCCTCCGGTCGGTCTCCGGGTGGCCGAGGGGCGGACACTTGGAAAGGGAGCTCCGAGGAGGGAGCGAGGGAACGACTTGCTCCGACGCCTCACGGGCTGCTCTCTAAATCTGCGCGCCTCCTGACAGCCATTTTCATCTCCTCCCGTCGCCCCGTTGGGGACCCCCTCTCGCCCGGGGGCGCGGGCGCAGCCGCAGGAGCTGGCTGCCCGGTGCGGGGCGGGCGAAACAAAGAACTTCGGGCGGGACGTACCTGCGGCAGCGGCGGCTGTCAAGTCCCCGAACTTCCCATAGACCCGCGTTCGGGCGCGGACCGGCGACGCGGCTACGGCGAGCGGCCGGGAAGGGCGCGGAGTGCGCCTGCCGCGGACATGGTGCGGCGCCGGCGGCCGCGGGGCGCGCGGGGAGGGCGAGTCGGGGCGGCGAGGGGGCGCGAGGACCAGTGTGCGAGCGCGCCGGGGCCAGTGGCGCAGCCCTGTCCGTCCCCTCCCGCCCGTGCAGCTCCGGCATCGGTTTCAGGGATCGTGTAATCCGATCCCTTCTGACTCACAGGCCCTGAGTGACAGTTCTGATTTGGCTCACCCGCGGGAGGGAGGGGAAAGAGAAAACCAGCAAGCCCCCACCGGAGTCCCCTCCTGGCGTCCAACCCACTTTCTGGAAGAAGGTCCCATCCCGGCCGGGCAGCCCGCGCGCGCTGGAGGCGCCCCCCGCCCGGACCCCGCGCGGCGCGCGCTACTCACCGGGAGGAAAAGTTGTCCCTCGGATCTCGCTTCCCTCCCTCGCGCTCCCTCTTTCCCTCGCCGCCTCCTCTTCCTCCACCTCCTCCCCGCGCTCCTCCTCCTCCAAGTTTTAGCACAAGTCGCCGGACTCTCCCCGCTCCCCCGCGCACGCTCTGCCCCCGCCCCCGCCCCCGCCCCGTCCCTTCTCTCTGCCACTCTCAGGCGCGGAGGGACGCGCCGAGCAGCAGGACGCCTGCCGCCGCAGGGGGCGAAGTTGGGAAAACTTGGGAGTGCAGCTCGCCTTACTTTTGCTTTCTCGCTCTTTCCAGGCCGCGCCGAGGGCCAGGGCTTCCCCGGCCGCCGAGTACGTGCGCCAGGAGCCGGTCCCAGCAGCGGTGCGGGCGGCGGCGCGCAGCGGGCCGGGGTCGAGGGCTGGGAGGACCGGAGCGCCCGGAGCCACGCGCGCGCTCCCTCCGCCCCTCCCGGGTCCTCGCACAGACACATTCAAGCCTGCTCCTCCTCTTCCCCCTCCTTGACCCCGCGCCCGCTCGGCGCGCCGAGGCCCCACCCACCCGGTGAGGGGAAGGGGGCCCGGGCGTGATGTCACCGCCGCCCTCCCCGCCTGCGCTCGCGGCAGCGCTGGGACGCCCCCCAGCCCCGCGCCCCGCTAGTCCGGGTTGAGTCCTGCCTGCTCGCGTCGCCTCCCGCCCGCCTTTACTCTTGTTCCCAGTTTGGGTACCCCTTTCTTCTTTTAAGGCCTCTCTGAGCACATCCCCCTGCCCCCCGGCCCCCGTGTTCTTTTACATTTCCCCAGGCCAGCCCTGAAACGCGCTCTCTCGCCAGAGGATGCTTTGGGAAGTTGAGGGTTTTCCTCTCACCGGACTCATCCGCCCTTGGGGCCATATATGGGAAGTGGGAACTCCCTCCACACAGCCTGCTGTCCCCATGGGCCACTTTATAAAGGACACAAAAACAAAGCCCCGGGCTTGAAGCCTGAACTCCAGCGTGCTGCTTTACCGTGAGCTGCAAAGTATCTCTGTCCCTGATTTATTTCCAGCGGCCCATACTAGTAAAAATTGTTTTCCCTTCTTTCTCAACCCGCCAACCTGCATTCATCAGTTCCCTTTCAATGGACCCAACTTAGACCCGTTAACTTAAAACAGGAGCTCCTATGGGGGAAAGAAAAGAAAACCCCTGTGACTTTTCCAAAATCCATTCTTCGTGGGATAAGCTGAGCGTCTACCCACCCACCCGCCGCCGCCAGCAGTGAGTGCTTAGAGCTTAGGTGCACTTGTGTTGACTCGCTGAGGGTCTTGACTGAAGGAAGAGAGTGGGTGGATGAATGATTAGCTATTATGATTTGAAGAGCACTTTGAGATGTTCAAATGCTTAGCTGGAGGATTTTTTAACAGAATTGATGGTGGTATTCACTATTTGTTTCCTGGGACTTGTTGCTTATCTCAAAAACATGATAAAAGCAGACCCTGACTTACACTTTCATGGTAGAAGCATGGAGATAAGGGAGAGCTGAAGGTCCTTTCAGCCATTTATTCTATGATTTCTCTCTCTACTTCACCACTCTTTAAAAACAAAACACCTCTTACTCATCATACAGAGCAGGGGTCTCAGGAAACATGCATGGGTGGTGGTCCCAGCTTCCCCTCGCTAGCTGGTCCCAGGCCCAGGAGGATTCTGAGCCTGCATAGGCTCTGAGCCCATCTGTGGGAAGGTGATAGGAAAACCAGGCCACACACCTCCCTTGATTTATATGGGTTTCCAATGAGATAATGCATATGAAAATACAAAGGAACAGAAATGTGTATGAATTATCATTACACTTTTGCAATTACAGAAGAGTTGCAAGCTATTTCCCATATATACTCCTTCAGCATCAGTCACAATTTTTTTTTTTGTACTGCTTCTGCCTCAGTCACAGGAATACAAATAATACAGTCTGATAGCCTTCTCTGTTCACCCTGTGGCAAAAAATAAATAAAAAGAAGAAAGACAGCCAATAAATCAACAACTTAAAAAAACTAGATATTTTGACTTTTGCTTAAAACAGTTCTCTAGTGCATTTTGGATCATAAAGACCATGATTCTCAGTTTTAAAAAGACAAGAAGAAAAAGCAGCTAATCTTTCCCCTTGTGCCCATCAGAATAGCTAAAGACAAAAGTGGAGGAAGAATGCTGGTGTCCCCTGTGCATTCTATTTCCTCACCTTAGATTCTTGGGAAAAGCTAACAGCTCTCTGCTCTCATAGTAAACATATATGTTAGTGAGAACATTTTGCAGAAATGGTGGAGAGAAAAAACATGGTTTGCCATAATGCGAGTTAAATAATGCCATAATGTGGTGATGTTCAATCTATTTTAACACAAGAACTCTTTTTTCAAATGAAATCTTATGTGGGATCTCAAAATAAAAAAGAGAGCTACTCTGTTTGCGATTTTCTCCCAATCCCTTTTCAGCATTGGCTCCTGAGACATCAATAAAAATCACACAGGTACCTTGAAACTCAATATTGAAACCTCTCTTGTAATGATAAATAAGCCCGTACAAACATACAGGGCTCTGAGATTGCCCTTCTTCCATGTCTAAAATTCCACCGTTATAGATTCATTTATTGCCATCTCTAATTAGTTCTTTTCAAATGCAAATATCCTAGGAAGCTTTAATATACTGAATCCTCAAAGCGATCAAGCTTATAAAAGTTAGTGGGGTTTTTTGGCAACAAACTGAATAAAGTAGGAGATGTGAAGTTATTTTATTAGTTTTCTAGGACCCCTGTAACCAAGAACCACAAACTGGGTGGCTTAAAACAACAGAAATCTATTGTCTCATGGTTCTGGAGACTGCGAGTCCAAACTCAATTTCAGTAGGACCATGCTCCCTATGAAAGCTCTAGGGGAAGATCCTTCCTTGCTTCTTCCTAGCTTCTGGAGCTGTGTGCCAGTCTTCAGTGTTCTTGGCTTGCAGCTGCTTCACTCCAGCCTGTGCCTCTATATTCTCACCTTGACCCTCTTCCTCTTCATGAGGACACTGGGTAAGAAGCCCACCCTGTTTCAGTATAACCTCATCTCAACTAAACACATCTGCAGCAATCCATTTCCAAATCAGATCACATTCTGAGGTCCCAGGAATTGGAACTTCAACATATCGTTGGGAGGGACCCAGTTCAACCTGTACCAGCCCTGGAAAAGACAGTCTGAGAAAATGTAGGAGTTGCAGCTGAGAGGACAAAGGGTCAACCTGAGAACCTCTCACCTGCTCCTCTGCATTCTTTGCCCTGTCGTGTGTGCTATAGGTAACCACCATTCTCACCCTCACTTACCAGTGCCGCTCTTCCATCTCTGCACAGTAGCCCCCAATTCATTCTTGGGAAATTCAAAATGGATATTTCATGTATACAGATAAACTCTCAGCAGCAAGTGACAAAATTCCAATTCAAAATGGCTTAATTTTCAAAGAGCGGGGGTGTTGTTTTAGGACTGAAAAGTCCCAAAAGGTTTATACAGACTTCAGGCAAGGCAGGATCCAGAGGCTCAAACAATTTTGCTGAGTTCTATTTCCATCTTTCAGCTAAGCTTCATTCACATTTGATGCAAACTCTTCAGGCAGCCAAGCAAGGTGGCTCCAGGTAGCTGTGTTGCACATAATCAGTCTTAGTGGTTTGCATTCCCAGAGAATAATCACCTTGTCAAAGGGGTTGCATTATTCCTCTTGGCCAAGTGAGAGGTAACAGTTAACATGTGTCCTTTATAAACCCATCATGATGGCCAACATTTTCTTCCCCTTTTCTGTTGGTCCTCTCCTATAAAATGCAGGACTGTCACCTTTGCTTCATTTGCCCTTCATAGGGTTGCTTACTGGGGGCTGGTGCCTTTCAGGCCACTATGTTCTTGGGCATCCTCAGTGCTCTGAAGTCACAGTACATTCTACACTCTCATGGAGAGAAGGATCACTTGCATTTTGGAGTTTTACTTGATCACAAGGCTCTTACTATGTTGGTCCTTATATTATCTTACCAGTTTTCCTTTTGAAAAAACAGCACAGATTTATTTAGAAACTTTTTTCTTTTAGGACTAACATCTCTTCTATGTCCCTAAACTAGGGATAGTGAAGGCTTCTCTTGTACAGATACAAACATTGACACCCACACACATACCTAAAGCCCTACTGACCCATCTATCCACAAGTGGAGGCTCACTATTGAACCAAGCCTGTCTGCTGCACGCTGCCTTCCCTTATGGTGAGTAATATCCCAGAGCTCCTCAGCCTGGCATGCAAAGAGACTCACTGCAGACAACATAACCAGTCCACCCAACATTTCCAAATGTTTCTGAATTACAGCAGAGAACCCAGCTTAATGCTAAAACTAGGACCTTTAATGTATCTGTGTGTCTGTGAAGTTTGTAGGTACCAGTTAAGACATGCCTTCCTCAACATTTTCAAAAGATGGTGCAAATTGAAATACTCTATCGGCTGCATTTAAGAACCGATGTCCAAAACAAAAAAGGTTTCTTACGGCTGTAATTGGTTTGGACCTTCCAATTGATCTGCCCCCTGAGTAGGAGCAGCTGGAGAAGGCAGCCCACCCTCCCAGGCCGGAAGGCTGACCTGCAGAACTGTCCCATGGGTATGAGTACAGGAGAGGGAACTCAGCCCCTGGAGGCATGCCAAGAGCTAGAGCAGGAACCAAGGCTCCAGACCCCAGAGTCACCAACTCCTTACTCTCTGCTCCCCCTCACCCTTCCTTCCTCCTCTAACCTCCTAGTCTCCTAACGTGCTCTCTTCTGGATTCACTCTCAGGGCCATAACCACCAATTCCAAGACTGAGCTGACTTGACTTCCTGAGGGCAACATAGACCCATTTAGGCTTCTTGCTGCCCCCTCTCATTTCCCAGATAGCCGGTGTGCTTGGAGGGAAAGTGTTGGGGATGCAGACGGATCCTCAGCCACACAGATGTCTCAGGAGTGCCCTGGGAAGGAGACAGTCCCGGAGGTGG